TCTGAAACTATGAGCTGAAATAAACATTTCCTCTTTGTGTTGATTTTCTCAGGTATTCTGTCACAGTGATAGAAAGCTGTCTAACATAAGTCACCCAATCTATGGCACTGTTATAATAGCTCAGACTTAAAACTAGACTTCTGTGACTGGCTTCTTTCATTTAGATTTCAGTTCATACATACTGTAGCATATCAGTACTTCCTTCCTTGGAATAGTGAAATGATATTCTAATGTATGGCTCAATCATATTTTTATTTGGCCATCACTTAATGGACTGACACTGAGGTTGCTTCTACTTTCTTGGCTATTTTGATTAATGATGCTATGAACATTTATGTACATATTTTTATTTTTCTGGATAAATACCAGGAATTGACTTGCTGGGTAATAAGATAACTCTATGTTTAACATCTGAAGAACTCCCAAGCTGTTTTCAAAAGCGGCAACACCATTTTACACCCTCTCTGGCAATGCTCGAGGTTTCCTATTTCTTCATGTCCTCAAGACTTGCTGTTATCAGTCTCCTCGCTGTCATAATGAATTTGGAGTGGCATTTCACTGGAGTTTTGATCTGTATTTTCCTGAATAATGATACTGAGCATCTTTTAAAGTGCTTCCTTGGAGAAATGGCTACACAGATCCTTCACCCATTTTACAGTTAGATCATCTTTTTTACTGTTGAGTATGAGTTCTTTACATATTTTGGATAAAAGTCCCTTATCAGATACATGACTTGCAAAATATTCTCTTTTCATGTTAATAGTGTTCTTTAAAGCACAAAAGTTTTTAATGTTGTTCAAGTTTTCTATTTTTCTTTAGTGCTTTGTGCTTTTGGTGTCTTACCTAAGAAGGCTTTGCCTAAGCCAAAATGACAAAGATTTACTTCTATGTTTTCTTCTAAGAGTTTTATTGTGTTAGTACTTACATTTAGGTCCATGAATCATTTTTGGATTAATTTTTATGTATGGTGTCAGGTGAGAGCCTGTGGTCTTTTGCACATGACTATGCACTTGCCCCAGCACCACTTGCCACAAAGACAAACTGTACTTTTGAAGTACGTAATTTTACTTCCATAAATATTCATCTGGCTCCCACTTTGACCATAAATACCAAAAGGGCAAGGACTATGTCAGTCATTTTCACTGTATCTTCAGTACTCAGCCACTGGCTAGCTCTTAAGCACTCATTACTACTGGGTGAGTGAATAATTATTAGTAACAATAACTTCACATTGCACCAATTGTAAGTAGCACCATCTCCACATTACTAGGACAAATTGGGCAGGTTCTCAATTTTTGATTCATGTATTCATTCCTGGCCAAGGGAGCTATGAGCTCCTCTAGGGCAGAAACTAGTTCTTCTTGCTCACTGTGTTGCTATGCTCCCTCCCCAAATCACCTCAGGGCCAGGCCACAGAGAATAGGCTGGAAAGATGGACAACTGAAGGAGGTTCATTAGTATTCCCCAAGACAAGGTCTCCTACCTACCTCTATGCCCTTTGGCCTCAAATTCTGATCCAGAGATACAAACAATGTAACATCTCCCTCCCCTCACACAGTCTGGGCTGCCACTTCCCTGGTGCTAATATTCATACTATTCCTTTTACCTGGAATGTCTTCTTGCCCTATTGTTAAAATATATATATATATATATTATTTTTTTTCATTTGTCTCCAATTCCTGAAACTGAAAGACACTAGTGTCAGCCAGTCACGTGTCATTGGAATTTCTGTGGCACTAGAATGGAACCCATTAGCTACAACCAAGTTAAAAGGTTACGAGTAGTGCCAGCCTACCTATATTTTAAGCCTCTGATCAGTGTTATTTCCTCAGGGACCCCCAGGATCATTTTCCTGATCCCTCTGGCTAGTCAGGGGCATCTTCTGGGCTCCTGCAGCACTCTTCTGTCTCCAACATCAACCACGCTGTTGCCATAGTCTACCCAGACTGTCATCGAGGGCAAGGATCATGCCTGCTCAGGTGTCTGCGTGCTAAGGAAAGGACTCAGCACATGGCAGGTGCTCGGTGAATGTTTGTCAAATAAACAAATGAATCCTGGAGAGAAATCAGACAGCAGAGTCTGAGACTGATACCACTAGGTTTCCTTCATTAAAGACGGGGCAGATGAATGAGTTAGCCACTTAGCAGAGGCCCAGCTCTCTGTGGGGAGAATGAAGACGGGCAGAAGTGTCGTCTTTCACAGGTCTGATGTAAAGGAAATGTGATCACCACAGGAGAACAGATATTACTTTTCTCATCCTGCTGGTCCTCACTTGGCTCAGCCTGAACCGGGACAGATGTGCTGAGTTACCCTGTGCCCTCTGTCTCGGGTGAGCAGTTCTTCAGACTCCAGTGTTGACTGAGCTGAGGAGCAAATCCACCTCCTCATGCTGCCAAGAGGCAGGACACAGGCCAGACTTCCACTTCTGAAGAGCCAGGACTGGATGGGCTCTGAAGGCTTAAGTGCCTCAGAAGGGAGGAAATGACCACACAAAGATGGAAGAAAGGATGGACAGAGATACCCAGCCTCCCTGTGATGCAGCCAGTGTGAATATGAAAAGATACTGGACTGTCAGCATCTGGTACACTGAAGTCAGTAAGGCCAACATGTGCCCTTATGCTGGGGAATGAGGTAAGAGTCAGGGGGCACGAGACTCCAGAGAGGCACACAGTCCAGTGATTGAAGGTGAAATGTGAAGCACAGTGTGTGGTGAGTGGCAGACCCTGCCCTCCTTTTGGCCAGATCGTCCACCACACACGCACAGAAAGCAAGTCCACAGTGCCCACACATCAGAGCCAATGTCCAAGCTGCTGGCTTGCTGGTCTCACACTCTGTGGGGATGCCAGCTCTGTTCCGGATTGTTTCAGAGTGTGAACCTTACTGGGATCCCTGTGTGGTCCTCAGTCCTGACACTGAGCCCTACCTCTCCAAACTAACCTCCAACTTCTCTTCCAAAAGATCCTCTTCCTACCGCAAGGCTGGCATGGCCCTTCCTAGAGGACTCTCATACCCTGCCAGATTAGAAGGGCAGGGGAGATCACACCCAACAGAAAGGCTTCACAGGGAGGCAGCACCTGTGCTGAGCCTAGCAGGCAGACGAGCGCAAAGCCGGTGATGAGTGCAAAGCACAGAGGTGGCCTGTGTGGAGGGTCTGCATCCACCGCTCTGCCACTGTGGAATTCAGGATGTCCTAGACGCAGGGTGGCGCGATTCCCTGGGATGAGCCTCAGGCTGCTATATTTCCCTATTCAGGTCTTTCTTACCTTGAATCTGTCTTACTGAAAGTCAACAAATCTGCCTTCAGAGCTGCCTCTTCCCCATTCAGTTCATCCCTCACTGCTCTGAAACGCAGCCCTAACCACATCATTCATCTGCTCATAAACAGCCCTGGCAGGCCATGCAGATCCCAGCCCCTCTTTCCCCACACCCCGCACAGGTTCTGTCTCAGCAGCATCAACTGCTCCCCACACAAAGCCAGCCAGCCTCACCATCGCTTTTGCCCAGTGTCTTCATGCTGTGGTTCTGTATGAGATAGGGCTGAGGGAAGAGAACGTGCTTCAATCACCTTGGATTTTATAAAAGATCCCTTTATTTAGATGTAGCCAAGGGAGTCATGATGATCAAAGGAGAAGAGGCAGGAGAAAAGCAGCCTAGAGACTTGAGACATACACAGGAAGAGTCCACAGACACCATCCACATCAGCAAGAATGAAGAATCATTACGATTCTCTTGGGTCATACATATACTTTTTCTATCCTTTGGGCAGGTGTTTGGTTGCCATTAGAAAAGTGTATATTAAAATAACACCTGAGAACTCAATGACCTCGGGGAAGAATCAGCCTTCCCAAGTGATGGAAAGGTGCTGCTTAGTAAATGCACTGCCTAGGCTGTGCCAAGAGCCTGGCAGGGAGCAACAGGTATGCTCAGGGGCAGCAAGGCCCAGTTCCTGCCTCCTCACTCCTTGTAATTCAGCAGAGTAAAGCAAGGCTCATCTGTTTCTGGGGCAATGAAGATGCCACACACAGCCTGCAGTTATGAATGGCTCTTATAACAGCAAGATGACATCTGTGCTTGGTTTTTTTAAGATGCATCATTGCATGTTTATTAAACTATTGCTCCATCATATTTATTTGGCTACAAAACAACTCCCAGCCCATACTTCCCAAAAGTGGTTTATTAAAAACTAAGCCTTGAACATTAATACTCAAAAGCACCCTTGAGAATCAATAATAATGCTGCAGATAAAATGAAAGGGAATCAAAGCAGTAAGTCTTAGTGGGGCTGTGGCTGCCTTTCAACACTTTCTTGCATGTTTAAGCAGCTAGAGTGGGGAAGAGCCCTAAGGATTCATGACACCCCAAACACCTGACTTCTGTCTAAAATGTGGCTGTGATGGCAGTGATGGGGCTGTCTTATAGCCACTTACATCTATTCAAGGGGCCAAGGGAGGCCCAGTGAAGGGTCTATAATTTCTCTAATCAATAACCCTTAGCTAATACTGTATGCTGGTCTGGCCTTAGCGTCCATCCTGGACTCTATCCTACTTCTGGCACCAGGCTGAGTCCTGCTCCTGCTCAAGAACAAACCTGAAATCCTACCACAGTGGTATGTGGAACCAGCCAAGCCTATGAGACTACAGAACTACAGTCTGTCCCTGCTGAGGGGCCAGTATGAGCCCCCAGGCACCCCAGAGCACCTCTAACACAGGCTCTCTTCCAGTACCCTCTTAAATCTCCAAGCCTTACCTGGGGTACCCACACAGCAAGCAGTAACATGGCCACTTCCACAAAGAAACAATAGGAAAATTCGGAGAAAAATCACAAGTTTTGGAAAGGACTCCAAACCATCCTAGCTGGAGATTCATGGATATTTGGGAGCTGTCTCCCTGAGATATGTAAAAGTTGACCTGGGTCAAAGGAGCCCAGGTAACTGTGCAACTATAGAGAATTCCCAGGGATCATTTCTCACGTTAGTCCTCCAAGGTAGGGGTCAGCACTCACCTGTTGAGTTCTTGTATATTGTTGGTGCGGGCAGCTTCCATCAGGGCTGCATCTAGGGAGAGATGGATACTGGTCAGATCCATGGCCAGGACCTACCCCTCAGGGCTGCTCGAAGGGCCCACTAAGCAATGGAAGTACTTCAGAAACACAGGCTTTACCAAGGGAACCAATGTCAAAGGCGACTCACTGTTCCCTCCTCATGTGGTGTCCACCGTTAACAGCCTGACTTCTATCCTTTCTCTAGCAGACCCCAAACTTTCCACTTCTCTCACTGTGCAGGGACCCAGGTGAAGTACTAATGCCTCATCTCACCTGTGGTGAACACCCACTGTGCAGTTCCCCGCCTGTCATAAACTTCAAAGCTCTGTGCATATTTTATCTTAACTATTAACCATTCCCTGACCTGGTCCCATGCTCTCTGATTCTACTTTTTTAGCCTGGTTTTAGCCTGATTTTGAATCCTGATGTCACAGGTCACAAGCCCAAAGGGAAAGAAAGGATAGAGTGTGGCAGGCAGCAATGTGAACCTCTCTAGGAACAGAGCCACCTTCCGTCAGGAGTTAAGACCTGCCTGGCTGCAATTCACGCTGCCAACCTACCACCATGTGACTGTGGTGGCCCTTTCCCTCTCAACTACTGCTTCCTGGACCTCTGCTTCCTATCAAGCAGAGACAATGGTCCTAGCTCTGCCAGACTAACAAGAATTCTGAAGAGATGAAACGGTGGCTGAAAAATTTGTAAATTCTCCAGTCCCACGCACAGAGAAGGGAGACCCACGGTAGAGGAATTAGCAGGCCTAGTGGAAAACCAGTACCAAGCCTGGCTTTTCTGGCCTAGGCAGCTGGTCTGCTGGCACCACCTTGTGGCTACAAAGAAAAACCACCACCTTTGGAAAAAGGTCACAGCAAGAGCACAATTCTCTCACAGTTAAATACAAAGCAACTGTGTCCAGATTGGTTCTGAGCTACATTGTTGGATACTGGACTGACTGCCTCCCAGCCTGGCTCCAGGGAGCTCTTGGTCCAGCTACAAGCCTCGTACAGTGAGACATGAGAGAAGGCACCAGTGGCAGGACAGACAGTCCCAACGCCACTTGCTAACACCTAGACACTTGCTAACACCCAGTCTCCCGAGTCTCAGTTTCCCTATCTTCATAACAGGGATAAGACACCACCATGAAAATGAAAACCAGTTCTGTTCAGACTTTGGCGCCTCCACTCTGCCTCCTGCTGGACCCACAGCCAGGCCTTCCCTACTTCACCAACTGCTCTCCCAGCACACAGCCCCCAGCTGCAAAGGGACCTCCCTTCCTCACAGACAGCTCAACCCATTCTCCCGACACTGCAGATAAAAAAGTGGCTTCTGAAGGTCCTCGAGTGAGGAATGAGCCGACATTGAGCCAGGACCTCCTGGTTCTTGAAGGTCAAGTTGACACACAGGTTAGCTTGAATTCAGAGGGTAGAACCAGTCATGCCTATTAGACAACCAGTCATTGTCTATTTTAGGAAGTACACCCTGGTCTTCTTGCTGAAATTCACATGCTACAAAGAAAGTTCAGCCTGGAGCCCCCAGGAGCCTTAGGTAGCACTTGGGACACCTTTTTCCAGTGATGCACACACAGGACATTCCCTATCATGAACCTTTCATGACTCTCCACTACCTACAGGAGAAATTTCCCAAACCCTGCTGCATGGCATGCAGGCCCCGTTCTGTCAGCTCCCCCCACCTCCACTATCCACTGTGCTACCCCTATGCACACTAGGCTGACTAAAGGCTCTATATGAAACAAAATTTACTTCTACTTAATAAGTACCTACTAAGTTCTTGACGCTGCAGATGTACTTCCTGTTCCCTCAGAGCTCACAATGTCACTCTCCTTTTATCCCTTGCTTCACCTTTCAAGGGGCTCCAATCCTTAAGGCAGACTTTCCGACCTTGCTGACCTCTACCTTTCCTACAGCACACAGCACCACTCACCAGCCCTGCATGCCCACCTGCCTGCACTGTCCCCTCCACCGACTTAGGACTCCCAGATACCTAGCTTGAGACTAGGCACACAGAAGGTATCCAAAACACGACTGAAAATTACAGAATGACAGAAAGCACAAGCCAGCAGTGCCCTTAGAGTCTATTTCAATGCCCTCATTCTGCAGAGAGAAAACAAGGCCAGTGAAAGAGCACGAGTCAAAACTCACAGTGAGGAGTTAAACACAGAACCAAAACAAGATCCTCCGTGTCCTCATTCACTGCTCAAAGCCTCATCCCATTGAATAAATAAAGAGAAGTCAAGGCAGTCCATTTGCTCCAAAGTCTGAGAGCCTGGGATGCACGGAATCCAAGGACACCACGCTTCAGTGTGGTGCTTAAGAACAGCTGAGAACCTAAGTGCTTGAGCGCACACAAGCCACACAAGTCTGGTTCTTTGCTCAGTCTCTTAGCTCAGCTTCTTGCACCCAGCTGAGAGGCCAGCTGGGTCAGCCACCCCTCTTGCCCCAACTGCTTTGGGTCTCCAGGGATCTAACTTCCTTTTGCTAACTGCTTCATAAGGCAAGATCATCTCAAGCCTAAGACCAGACACTGCAAAACTCTGGGAGATTGACAGATACAGGCCACTGAACTACAAGAGGGGTCCAAATAACAGTGTTGTAAGACTACTGAGAAATCACCCCTTGCCCTATAAGAAGTGGGGAAATGGAGACCAGAGAAGCAAGGGGTCAACTTGGCACTGGAACCAAGTCTTCTTTCCTGAGGTCACTGTATATAGGCAATTTTTCTAAGCCATTAAAACTACCTGCGGCTTATGGGAAACCACTTTAAAAAGGAAAACCCCAGGCAGGTTAGTAGAACAGAAAAGGATTATGCTGTAATTACATCTGTCGTCCAATATTCTCACTGTACAGTAGAAAAAGTGAAACCCAGAGAGAGAAGACTGACTTGTACAGGAGAGTATACACCTAGGTTAGCTCTTCAGGGTAACGTCTTGCCCCAGAACAAACATCTGGTCTCTCCAAGACTGACGTTATGAAGGTCTAAATTTTTAAGTACCCCACTCCTCCCGCCTCTCTCCCTCTAAAATCCAGATTGGTTCCATAATCACCCTTGTCGGACGGATTCTTGCTATAGCAGTGAACCACCAGCGCCGTGGCGAGGGCCCACACGCCCAGTCCAGCTGGGTTGGAGAACCCATTCCAGTTGTCCTGTCCTGGGACTATTTCTTCAGGACTAGGAAGGTGCCCCGACGTGGGGGTAGTCAAGCACTGGGTCTTGGTGCGTCCTCCCTGGCGCCCCCAGGTGGCAGCCCCTCGTCCGAGAAGCAAGGCCAAAGATGTTCCACGGTGCCCCCCGGCGGTCGCTCTCAGCCACTGCAGCTCCCCGCGGTCTTCAGAGATTATGGTCCGGCTGGAGGCAATTCCACGGCTCTGGATCGACGAAGCCCTGAGTAGCCGGAGGAGGTTCCGCGGCGCCGGCGCGCTTCTCAACACCAAGGATCCCAACATCGTGACACCTGCTTCCGTAACCCCGAGGTGCCGGCCCCTGTGTTGGCCACGACCAACATGGCTGCCGCGGCGCGTTCGAAGACGCCGGGAAAGGGGCGGGACTGCGCACTACCTCACGGGAGTGGTAGTCCACGGCCCTAGATCTTTCCGCAGTTGTAGAACAAATAAACTACACTTCCTAGAAGGCTGCAGGGTAGCGTCACAATGGACGCTGGTTTAGCCCGGGGCATGTTGGGAAATGGAGTTTAGATGGAGGGGCGTAGAGAGAAGGAAAACGCTATGGCGGGGTGTGGCAATTAAAGATGCCAATTCCAGAGCCTCTTTACTATTTTAGATAAAATACGCAACACAATTTCTGACCAGTGTAATTTAACTAAGGATCTTCTACAGAGGCATATTATGAAAGCTATACTTATTTCTTTTAGTTCATTTCTCATTTCAGCCTGGGACAGCTTTTTAAAAATGCCTAGGGTAACCGTTGCACCTGAAATACAAATATCGTTTATTTTCCTACGCAGACTTACCTTTGGTTGAAAAGTTGACTCCTGCACTTACTTGTTACTTACGTCTCCTTTTGCAGGCTGAACCCAAGACCTCATGCATACTAGGAAAGTGCTCTACTATTGAGCTACATCTTCAGCCCTTTTTACAGGGTCTTAATAAAAGTTCCTCAGTCTGGCATCAAACTTGATCCTTTTGCCTCAGCTTGCCAAGTAGCTGGAATTACAGGCGCGTTCCACCTGTGTTATTTTGAGAGCACTTTCACTTGGGTTATCTCTTGGGATTCTAGTGGCAGCTGTCTGTTATCCTCTTTCACAGCCAAGGGAATTTAAATTTAAAGGTGCAATGTTCTGTTCCTTAATTGCCTGGAGTAAGACTCCCGCCTTCTGACTTCAAGTTCACACTTCCCATGAATTCCTGCACCACAGCCTCACTCCCTTCATTCCAGATTTAACCCTCAGTAGGCAAAGAAGAAAGGTCTTTTTTTTTTTTTTTTTTTTTTTTTTTGTGCCAGTCCTATCTCTTGGTCCTGCGCGTCCTTTAGGTATGCTTTTACGTCACATTATTGGAACTCTTTATAACCATTCCAGTTAAAATAGTGACCCAACCCACCTCATCTTTCTTATCCTACCTAATTTTTCTTTCCTATATTTATCACTACCTGACATACTAAACATTTTATTGTATTTTTTTTTCAAGATAGTGTGAGCCCCATGAAACAGGGACTCCCCCCCACACACACACACATACTTTTATAACACTAGCATCTGAGACAATATTTGGAACAAGAGAGGCAATCAAATATGTCTTCAAGGAATAGGTTACTCTCATTTTATTAGCATGGAGGAACTGAATGTGAGTCTTGGTTTTCAGATAGACCTAGATTTTAGTTTTGATTCTTACATTTACCATATATGTGAACTTGGACAAACTTCCCCTGATAGTTAATTTCCTCATTATTATCAAAGATAGTAATTTTTACCCTTTGTGATTACATTAAATGAGATAATGTGTAGAAAGCCCCTAATAACTGTCTCTAGAAACGACAGCTTTAATTGTCTTCTATCCTTTGGGGGTTCATTGCATTTCCTACTCTAAATTTCCTTAGGGGAGAATTGGTTCTTCTTATTTCCCCATGCCTTAGCAAGGCACATGACAATAGTAGTTGAATGAATGAATGTTTTTTAGTTTTCAATAGCCAAAGCTGCTGATCTTTCTATTTTAAGAGATTTCCCACCCCATACAGCTTCAGCCTCTCTGTACTTCTGTCTCTCAACTGAGGACGTGAACAACAATCTCTGAGCTCCCACTACTGGTAGATCACAAAATAAAATGCATCTTACTGTGCACAGTTCAAACCCCCTTGCTGCAGACACAACCCAGGGCCCTTTTAACATGGACTGCGTAATTGTCAAGTGTGTATTTATCCACTGATTAATTTGTTTTTCACAGAAATTATCTGTGAGGGGCATAAGGAAGATATTAATTACTCTCAATAGTAGTTAGGGATACTGGGTAAGATTAAATTTCAATGTCTAAGTGGGATATAATGGAAACGCCTATTGGAATCATGAAGGGTATTGGGTGAAATTAAGTCATCAACAACCACTCTGAAAACCTTTGGGTCCAGTGCTAGCATTAAAAAGTCTTTACCTCATAACAACTTCTCTTTGGTTTGCTCAGCAAGCAGAGATTAATGTTAGATTCTACTTACCCTGCCATGGCCACGTGCTTCACTATTGTGTTGGGGGAGAGAGAAGCTGATCTTCATTTAGTTTGTACTGAGGTGACAGGTAGATACGGGAGTGGGGTTCAGGAGCAAGCAGATAGTGAAGAATCACTGAAGTTGTGGCTAATTCTGGCATGGAATTGGAGGCCATTCTGTGCAGGTTTCAGAAGAAAACACTTTTCTTGAAAGCCACACACACACACACACACACACACACACACGTACACACACACACATGCCCACATGCACACTACATTTTGAAACATGTAGACTATGGAGGAATTTTTCACTGTGGAGAAAGAAGTTACAAATAAGAAAAGTGAGAAAGCTAAAATGAACTTCATGGTATTGGATTGGAAATACAGGTATTAATATAAAACTCATGGCCTTTAAATATATAGACAGATAATACAAAATATAATTTTTTTCTTTTCAAATTTATTTTGTTTATTTTGTCTTTTTGAGACAGGGTCTCACTGCAGTTCAGGCTGACCTTGAGTTTACTTTGTAGTTCGGGCTGATCTGGAAATCACAACGATCCTCCTGCTTCAGCCTCCCTAGTGTGGGATTATAGATGTGTGCTACCACATAGGGCTATTTTATTTTAAAGAGAAAAAATAAAATTTCAAAACACAATTAGGGAGTAACAATGGTATACACATTGCATTAATTACATATATATACACACACATATATAGTCTCAGTTTCACACACTAATGAGACAATACGAAGTTTACCCATGCATGTCTGATTTCAGAAATATAAATGTGTAAGTATGTATGGATTAGTAGAATACTCATATTACCTAGCTTCGTCCTCTGAGGAGACCTGAAAGCACTGACACTCTAAAAACTAACCACATTTAACACCAAGACATAAACATCGTTCTCCAACAAGCTAGGCCCATGTCACCTATGGAAAATTGATTGCTTTCAGGACTGGATCAGCAAAAATACAAAATGATCCAGTAACATCTTAGGTGCCAAAAAGTAAGGGAAGTTTCAAAACCAGATGCAGGCTTGTGAAAAGAGCTCAGGCGCCAATATTGAGACATGTTCCTAGTGATCTAAGGTGAGCAATTTGAAAAACAGTGATAGTATAGGAGGTTTTTCCATGGAATAAAAAATGTAACTGTGAAGTCACAGAGTATAAATAATCAAGTAAATAGAAAATGGGGGATGAATAGATAGTGGTTCCTTGCAGTAAAAGTTCAATCAAGAAATGTAGAAGGAAGAAGGAAATAGAGGATTACTATTAGGCAAACACCACAGTAATAAATATTTCCAGACAAGATCTACAGATGAAGATCTTGTTAATGGGCATTAGGAAAAGGTTTGAGGAGAAGCAGAATTTGTATAGACTTAAAGTGCCTTCTGTAGGATATAGTACTCATCAATTTACAAAAACCTTGCTGTGGAGAAACTGGCAGATGTCAGCTGAGCCATGCGATCAAGGCAAGTATCACAGGTAGTAAAACACATAAACATCACAAATCCCTTCATGGGATGCATAGAGAAAGACACAACATTATTTCTGTGGCATTTTTGTCAACCTTACACGACCTCACTTCCAATTGTGAGAAAACATCCAAAGAACTTGTATTTAGGAACCTTCTACCAAAACCTGATATAGTATTTGTATTAATTTTTTTTGTTGCTTCTAACAAATCCCCACAAATGTATCAATTTAAAACAATAACTGCTCAATATTTTCAATTTCTGTGGATTTAGAGTCTAGCATATTTTAACTGAGTCCTCTGCTCAGGTCACGAAGAGGCTGAAAGCAAGGTGTCACATGTGGAGGCTTGGAGGGAAGGGTACTTTGCCACACTGCTTCTTGGTTATATAAGATGCTAACTGTAGGGAATTGGGGCGGGGGTACAAGGGAACTCTTCATGTTCTTTTTGCCACTTTTCTAAAATTAACACAAATTAATGTTTTAAAGAAAATATGTAATATACCTTAATTTCTCCTTCAGCATGGAGAGATGGGGTGTGTAGAGGAAAATGAAAAAGACAATCACATGTACTAGGATGAAATGTTTGTTTGTTGATGGAACTCATTTCTGCCAATTTTCTATGTATTGCCACAACACTATCTCCACTTCCAGTCTTCTGCCGTTTTTCTTTGGGATAATTGAGATGAACTGATTTAATAGTAATAAATGTAGCAAATTTTATTAAGTATTTATTATGTTCTAGTCATGGTGCTAAGTGACTGTCCTGCGTCAGTTATCTATATAAATGTTCACAGGGGTTTATATGTCAAGATTTTATGAAATTTATACTTTATATGTAAAACGTATTTAAATTAATTATACTCTAATGAAGCTATTTCCAAATATTATAATGTGACATAGTTTATCTGTCATATTGGGAAATATATATTGTATATATATTTTTATGTATTTGTGTATATAATATAACTGAGTTAAAAGTTTGTGCATAAAAGGACACTCTTTTCATTGGTGGGAGTTTAGACAGGTACATCCTCAATGGGAAGCTAACTATTCATATCAAAATACTGGAATTTAAAATGTAGGAATATTGCCCCATGCATAAAATAAGGAATGCTTTGAGATATTTGTAATAGGAAGAGATTGGAAGCAACCTAAATGTCCATCAATAGGAGATTGGTATTTACTACATATGTAAGAAAAACCACTGCAAAATGTTCTTTTTGGGCAAAATGGGACTGGGCATAAGGGAAAGAAATAGGGAGAGGGTTTATTTTTCACTGTGTTCTTAAAAGGTTATACCAGGCACACATATTACTTATTCAACCCACTCAGCCAACCGATCTCTATTTCTATATTAGTAGAATTTACTTTAACTTCTGTCGTCTGAAGTGGTTCTTGTTGTTCT